GCACTCTGTAACACGAATGATTGGATGATTATTGTACTAATTTAAAAAACATTCTATGATTATCGCCTTGCATTCTTTATATGTAAGTAAGTATTATTACACTTCAAACTTCGTTGTAATTGGCACATCGAAAGCCGATGGAGGATATTTTTGTATATGAAACGATTTGTCTGTAAACATACATACAAACAGATCGACTAACGAAGGGGATATGTGGGAATGGCTGATGGCCGTTTTTAGCTACCCGCTTAAATTAATTAATGTTTAGTGATAACTTGGCTTATTATATATACTTCATTATAAATATAATTTTAATTTATCACTTAACCTTATGATTCTTATATAACCAACCGATTAACGGCAACTGTATTAAGTAACATTCTCTCTCTAAACATACGTTTAACACATTCAAAATGTCGACGTCTTCTACACTTTCCACCACCACAAGTATGTCTGATGTTGAAATTGAACCTTCCCAATGTTCAAGACGAATTTTGTTAATGGGTGGGCAAAATTTTATTTCTTTAATGTATCTTATTCAAAATATCATCTCATTAATAAAAGTAAATGTTTAGCAATTGGGTCTATGGGGGATGTGCTTCCTTTTATAAATATTGGAATTGGTTTTCAACTTCGCGGCCATACAGTGATAGTTGCGGCCAATTCCAGATTTCGAAATTTGATAGAATCCAAAGGATTTGAGTTTAGGGAAATAACGGTAAAGCTTCGTATTAAAATCTTACCAAGTATCGTAATACTTTTCAATCTTTCCTTAATTATTCTTTCATTTACACATATAAAGTGGGATATGCAGTATGAATGGGAGCATACCGAAGAAGGTGAGATTTTTGAAAAAATCACAATATTGTTTCCTTGTGCCTAACAACACATTGTTTGTAGGAAAACGAATGGTGAAATATTCAGCACATTCAATACTTGGATCACCGTTCATGTTTTCATTTTTGAAGCAAGGATTCCAAAAGACATACAAGTAAGTTTTACAATGATCATTCTTCGTGGCTTTCTCAAAGCCACAATACCAGAAATAACAGGCCTTGTGATGATAAAAGTTTGAACTTAGCCACAACACAAATTATGAACCTCTTCGGTGTCTATAACAGTTTCCAATGCCACGAAATCAGAACAATATTTGCTTTTATATTTAACAACACGCTTTTAATCTCAGGGATTCCGAAGCCGTTCTCACGGGAGTTGACTTTGTACTACTTGGAACAGGGTCAAATTATATGTATCCAGAGGTAATTAAAGCGAGCCTATATTTACTAGTTTCTATCATGTGGCATCCACCTTAACGGAGAAAATCTAAATTACTAGTGTGTTGTTCGCAAGATCCCTGTGGCTTGTATATATTTTTATCCTTATGCAAGCACGAAAAACTATACTGGGGTTAGTGTTTATAAAAACTTGCTTCGTGATATCTTCAT